CACCAATTTTTTTTTTCTGAAAAAATTAAATAGATTTGGTTTGTAATAAGAATAATTGTTTTTATAAAATCTTTATGCATTTGTGACCAATTTCAAATTTATGCATTTTTCATTTCTAGGTATGACTAGTGGGAAAGTTAGTTGTCTGGCAGATAGTGCACACGCACGATACTGTTTTACGTGAACGCATCTATTTCCACCACTAACTCGTACCTAAGAATGCACCACTTGACAACCCTCTTAGGCCCATCCTAAACCTGATAGAAGGATACGGTAAGAGACACGTATAATGCTTTTGTACAATTAGACAAATCTTGACACATTTTGAGGCACTTATTCTTCTCACTTCCGGAGGAGAAACGTTATGTAAGACCAAAGACATAGAGATATTACATTACACTATTTTAGAGATAGAATTACACGCTGAAAACCTGAATAGGCAGAAGAATAACAGTTTGAATCTGATGCGTAACTTTTCGATGATACCATGGCCCAGAGCGTTGTCTTGGATAAACCCGAGTGGTCTGTATACCTTCACGCCCCATGGGCCAACGAATGTGGCCGAGGTTGTTATGTTACAGTGACCGCAAACGAAATTGACTCACTTTGGCATGATCGTTTGGACTGTTGGGAATATTTGTGCATCGGAAATTGGAACATACAAGGTTAAGGTTCCGCACACGCCGTCAATTGTTCGATCCATAAAAACACTCATTCACGCATCTGCCTAGTTGAAAACCTCTTAGACATCCCGCAATTACATTAAAACTAGGATTGGGAAATTTCTGGGAATCCTGATCGCTTTGATGGCCATTCATTGACGAAGACTACAGACCTTTTCACACGTGTGCTTTTACAAGGAACATCTGCATCGTAAACACATTGTCTCCTTATAATTCAAGGTCACGTTCCTGTTGAGATTCGTTCACGTCCAATCTTTAAGCCCTTCCATTTAGGAACTTGGAGAATTAGAATTAATTGAGTCATTGGGTTCGATTTGGTCACGTTCCGACGCAGTTCTATGGACTAAGAACAATAAAAGGCGAAGATAGCGTTTGCATCTATTAAGCCTCATTTGAAAACGGATTCAGGGGACATTTGTGGACCGATATCAAAAAGCCTCCCGCCTGCGGGCCATTTAGATATTTTATGGTTTGGTATGACGCTTCTACCGTTGGTCACACGTCGGTTGTCCCACACCAGGAACGCTGCATCATCCCTTTTACAGGTATGCAAGCTCAGGGCTCACCATCCTGATTATCCACGATCAAAATCGTCGATATAGCTGGCTCTTGAATTCTAAAACTTTCGATGACTACCTTGCATGTCGGTTGGGTTGAACGTTGAACATCCTGTACCCATGTTCACACCCAGAACGATGGCGCAGGCCTGCGCGTTTTGACTGGTTTTGCGGTTTATGATTACAGTACCAAATCGCTGCTTGGTCATGCATTGGTCACGCAGCTTGTTGTCCGCCTGTTAGGCCTGTTTAGCACACAACCATTTAGTGCCACTTCACGAGGATTCACCGGCTACGACCCGACATATCGCATCTGCCGTATTTTGGTTATCTATGTGCCGATTTCATACGTACAATTCGTCACCGAATTGGGAATCTATGGGATATGATTCTCCTCAATACAATTATTCGTACTTAGAACTTTTGACAGGCGATCTGTTTACGCTCGTTTCGCGGGATTTGTCACTTCTATGAGACAGTCTTCCCGAATAGGGGGAGATAAAACGTCAACGACTTCTGAACGAACGACGTGAATTATCGTGGATGACTCCACTTTGTCTCATTTGAGATCCCGCACGCTCAGTCTGAAGCTGAAGTGCAGCGCATATTAGATTTCCAGAGCATATGCTCAAGCATGCCAGATGCTTCACCGATCTAGCGCGCGTGACAAGATCACATATTCAGCATGCGAATATCGCCTGCAAAGATAGATTTCCAATGTACACCGGACGGACTTTCTCTTGGAAGCTCGGGTACGCCAATTTTGGTGATCACACGGTACATTAGCGGCTAGCAAATCATCTACCTCTACACAAAAGCGTAGGCCAAGACCCGTTGGTTCAAAGGATTCACACCCGAAGAAGAAAACCACGGACAAGTCCTGAAGAGCCTACCCGTGAATCCGTATCCTTGCCAACTCGTTACCCATTCGATTTATGGAGCGTCCTGAAGAAGAGACGAATGCTCTCCTGAGAATACGTGAGATGGTCCTATTATGCTAGCTTAGATGATGTGTGGCGTAGAAAATGAGATGATTGTCGACGACTGCATTAGGCATTTGCCAGTAGCTACTGAGATCATGTTGAGCACTGATCATCGAAAACTGCGTTCCGTTATGAATTGAGCAGAATGCTCGTTGAGGAGACGTGATTTGGTCAAATTGGAAAACACAAAACAGCAATCCAGTCGAACACTTGATTCACTGTGCGAAACGTAAGGTGTTTGGACCTGTAGTTCCTACTCCTCCACATGGAAGCCCGTTGGGCCTACAAGTGGGTTTTGTTTCGGAAATGTAATGAGAAGAACGAAATTGTGCGTTACACAAGCAATCGTACTTGCTAAAGCGCATGAGGTTTCCTCACAACGCCCTGAATTGGTGAATGACTTTCGTCCTTGGAAACTAGTCACCCGTTACTGGATGTGATTATTTTTCGATACTTCGTCCTTATCAGTTTGGTAGTTTCCGAAAAACTGGATATGCAGTTGAATGGACGTAGTAACCGTATCTCTATGGGGATCTTGATACGGAAATTTATATGAAAGTTCCTGAAGGACTTACATTGACTGGTTTCAAATATTTCAAACCCCGGAACACGCTCTCAAATTCGGCTGAGGCGTTCATTATACGGTTTGAAAACAATCTGGAAGAATGTGGTATAACCGTCTGAGTGAGTATTGATTATGGACTAGTCAGTGATATGAACGAACAACGAACGTATGCCCTGTGTGTGTCATATTTAGAAAGTCCACATTCCGGATTTACGATTGTTGTTGGCAGTAATATGTGTCGATGACATGAATCTCATCAGAACTCTTGAAGAGCTCGCGAGAACTGCTTCGCACCTCAAGTCGGAATTTGAGAATGAAGAGAATCTAGGAAAGACTCGATACTGTCTCGGTCTCAAGAGATAGAGCATTCGTCAATCGAAATACATCCTTGATGGATCAATGGAATCTTTGTACACGAATCCACCCAGAAGGTTGTTGCGCCGTTAAATGAGAATAAAGCGAAGTCTTTCGAGTACTCCTATGGTCGTTCGTTACGCTTACAAGATGCAAAAAAGACAAGATCCTTATGCGAGTCGCAAATCGGGAGGATGAAGAGACACTTTTAGGACCTGACCGATTCCTTATCTAAGTGGCGATAGGCGCGCTTTTCTTCAGAAACGTTAGCTCATTGCACTTAATGGCAACAGACGTTCCGAGTTATTCCCTCCTGCTGTATAGAATCTGGGCGATATCAGCAATGCACCCGCCAAACACAAGACATTGCAGATTGGCGTGAAAGACATTTTTCCGTACTTAAGGGTAACTACGAATTTCGGGCTTATTCTAACCCCTAAACGGAATCCTTCGAGTGATGCCGCACCCTATGCTCCCATCGGGGTTGATTCTCGCTTGTTGGTTAGATGCACCGACGCTGGATACTTTCTGATCCGCACAAGACGCGTCTCTCAACCGGTTATGTCTTTAACCGTTGGATTGGCACCGCAATATCTCCCTTGGAGGTCAACTAAACAGACCTTAGTTGCCACTTCCGTCTTCCATTACTGATTACCATGAAGCAACTTCCGGGAATGCTTTTGGTTGAGAGCTGTGAATGGGCATATTCGGAAGCTCCTGGTGACTTTTAATTCCCGGGTTAATGCCCGATGACGATTTTTTTAACAAGATCAACGCAGCTTGCATCGAACAGTCTAGTAAGATAAGGATGACATAAAATGGAGACAAACCTTACAGATATTGCACGACCGAAGTTCTTCTTTTTACACATTGATACAACAAAAGCTTCAGAAGATTGTTAGCTCGTTTTGCAAATCCGACACAAAACAAATGTCTGGCCGACCTCTTCACCCAAACTTCTTACGAAAGGCGACGTACTTCAGAGCTTGTTCATGAATTGTATGCGTAAACAAGAGTTTTTTGAGTCTTATTCCTTTTTTGGAATTATGTCAAACCAGAGGGAGTATTCTTCTGATACTTGCTTGATCTTAATGTACTCTTTCCCTCCCTACGATTTTAGGAGACATTTTCCCACGGGTTTTGAGGCTACCCATAACTAGGTAAATTTTTAACGAGGCACCCACTTGGGCTGTCATATCCTTGATGACGTCCTGTAGACGTTTCTTTTGACTTTGTATTTCTTTCACGCATTTTTCCTTAGATTATGGATTTTGTCCCTACTTGGGTTTTTGCCAAATAGCCTATAGGGTTTTTTTTTTAGTGAGACTTACTACTTATGCAAGTTCCGTACCTTATATGAGAATAAGCGTTGTTCCTTGAATTTGAATCAGTGATTCCGGACGAGTCGAAGATTCTCAGCAATATGCAAACTACAGTATTTCGACACTCAAGGGGGAGGGTTTTGTTGTAAACATTCCTAGAATAAGTATGATTATGTAAATCCTAGATTAGATTTCGATCTAGTTGTTTTCATTTCCTATTACAACTTGTATTACTTAAGAGAGGAGGAATATCTTATCTCCCTTTACTACTATAAATAAAGGCACAATGTAGGAGGGATAACAAAACACACATTCCCCTAAATTCTACAAACACACATCTCTCTTCTCTCTCACTAGCGCCGCCCTCTCTATTTTGTTAGATAAAAATAGACCACAACAATGATGCTTAATAATAAATTATTAGTAATTAATTCTCTTGATGAAAAATACAAGTCTTAATTTTCTGTTTTTTGGTCGAATAATTTTTTGCTTCGTACCTGCAGCAAATGTATTTATCGGCCATTTGCTTTGGTTCGCTTCCCATTCGTTTTTGGGAATATACATAGAGCTTTGCGTGAGCTTTACTCCACCAAATCGCATTTGTGTTTCCCCCCACATTGCTGTTCTCTTTCTTCTTCCTTCCTCAACAATCAACATCAATTCTGTAGTCTCTTCTATTCCGTTCTTCCACTTGGTGGATTCCCTCTCCTCCAAAGCGACGACGTCGTCTTCAGTTCCGGCCGCCGGTTCTGGCTTCCACTTTTGCTGCCCTCCGTGCAGAGAAATACGAGCCCTCCGCAACGGTCGACTCAGATACGTTTGAATTTTCTTTATGAAATATTTAGGGCTTCTTTCCGTTTTAGGGTTTGGTTTGATTTTCCTATTTGATTCAGAATTCTGCTGTGGTAATTTGAAATATCCAATTCCTAGTAGGACTATGATTGTTAATTAGGGCTTCTTATTTGGCAAATTCCAGTCGCTAATTTCTTCAGAATAATATTAATTACTAGCTTATTATCTTGTGAATAAAGCAAGCAACTGGTTAGACAGTTGGAATGACGAAACGAAAGGCCGAAGAAGAAATACAAGGAGAAAGTCAGAGTCAGAGCATGTGGAATCACGGAGAGCGCTGGTTGAGAGGAGCGTTGATTGGACAAGGTAGCTTTGCTTCTGTTTTTCTTGCTACTCCAAATAAACGAACAAGGGGTCTGTTAACTGGTAATTTGCCTGCAGTTATGGCCGTGAAATCCGCAGAGCTCTCCGCTTCGGAGTCCATTCAGCACGAGGCTGCGGTTCTCTTTGAGATTAAGGGCTGCCCTTTCATTATTGAGCGCTTTGGCGAGGAGACCACAATAACCGAAAAGGGTCACAAGGTCTACAACTTGTTGCTAGAATTTGCTGCAGGAGGAACCCTTGATGGTCTCATCCAACGATCCAATGGTCATGGATTGCCTGAAGCTGAGGTTAAAAGGTATGCAAGGTCGATTCTTGAAGGGGTTAAACATGTTCACAAATGTGGATATGTTCACTGCGATCTAAAGCCCGAGAACATCTTGCTTGTGCCTGTTGCTGCAACTTGTTCTAGTTCTGGTTTTGTAGCCAAGATTGCAGATTTTGGATTGTCAAAGAAAAGAAAGGAGAAATTCAGTGGATGGAGAGGCACTCCTTGGTATCTATCCCCAGAAGCTTTTAAAGATGAGAAGCAAGATCAGTCCTCTGATATATGGTCTCTTGGTTGTATAGTGTTTGAGATGCTAGTGGGCAAGTCGCCCTGGGAATTGAAGCCAGGTTTTGATGATCTTGTCGATTCCTACGACGCGAAGATGTTGGATCATCTGCGTACTTCCAAAATTCCGGCTGGAATCTCATATATGGCCATGGATTTTCTCAAGAGTTGCCTGGCCACGAAACCTGGGAAACGATTAACTGCTGAAGAGCTCTTGTCTCATCCCTTTCTAGCGTGGCCACAACCAACAAAACCAGGTCATGTGAAGGTAAAGTTGGTTAACTCAGCTTTAGGCCACACATACGGCGTGCGTTTCTTAAAACGGAGTGCAGAGTACCACGCAAGCGGTGCCATTGTTCCCAGAATTCAGCCAGCCCCGGGTTTTGGTATACAAGCAGGAGTGTAGAATGAAGTTGCTGTTTGATGTGATAATTTCAGTAAAAGCACGTTGGAGCCTGGAGGTTCTTTATTGTTGTATCTTTTGATTGCAATGTGCGTTAATCGTTTCGATTTTGGAAGCGCACAATTGTACAAAAATGATTCAAATTTGTATCCAAATACGTGTTTACTTTTTTTTTTTTTTTGTTAATATCTAATATTAGTCCAAATATTGCAACTGAACTGATGAGGCACTAATATTGATATTCCATCCATCATTGGTGTGCTTAATTCTGGAATTGTAGCATGTCGATTGCTTGTCTTGGGTTTGTTAATTATGGACCTAATTTTTCACTCAGTCGTCACTCCCAGTGATGATGGTGCCGTTTACTTAGTATGTCATCATTAATTGTGAAATGTCTTAGTAAAGTGAAGAAAAACATATTTCAGAAAAGTTGAGACAAGTATGTTGTTTCCATCTCTTTTGATCGGTTATGCATAAAACAAACTATGTATTAATACATCAAAGTCGCTTACATCATTACGCTGGTGGCGTGCTGTAACCCCGCTGAAAATTTGAAATTAAAATTGACACTCAAGCTCAATGAAAGAACATGAAATAGCTTGGAATGCCTGCATCCATTGTATTTTGTACTCCTATGAAACAAATCACTTGCAGTAATACAGGTTCGTTCGAGAAAAATTAAAGAAAAAATGGCATCTCTTTCTCTTTCTCACTTACAGATGGTACTCCCCACACAAATGCCTGATCCTCATAGATTCTCACTTTGACAACCAGTAGATAAATATGAGAAATGTGCATACAGATGCAACGAGAGAAAGAATGATGGTATCCATAGACTTTTTACGCTTAATAGCAGAAAGCATTTGATTTACCTGCACCATCAAATCTTTGAATGTCAATCAAGGGAACTACAGAGTACAGACATAATAAGATGACAGATTTACACATTTCGAGGGATTAAAATCCTTAATTTCTTTTATCCACTCTTGCATTGCCCTTCATATAAGTCATCTTTTTTACAGTAGAATTTCAGACCGGTTACTTTCTTAAGTCTACATGACGCAATACAACGCAATATTGGGACTCATTCTAGTTTTGGCATAAAAAATTCAGTGAACTTTGTACTGGTGATATACTTTTCTGCAATTAACCTATTGCATGCATTAACTCTTATTCATAGAACAAAAGAGAAACAGTTAATTCCATTCAAGAGGGACCTATGTAACACCAAAACGCCAAAGAAATAACTAAAACATCAAGGACCACAATTACTAGTTTTATACCGTTGGAAGGCGGCTGCCAATATTGCTGAGCTTTGAATTAATACCACCAAAAGTGGAGCGTTGAATGACAAGTGCACCAAGGGTTGCTTGAGCTTGAGAGATCACAGTATCCACCTGCAGAAACAGAATATATTATTCAATATAAATCACAATTTGTATTCTTCCATTTGCCACACTCAGAAAAGGGATGTAAACAAATCAAAATGCCTGGCCAAGGACTCTAAACCATCATCAGCTAAGAGACGTTCTACCCTGTACAATAAAATTCTGTTTTACTTCCCAACCATAAAGGCAAAAAAAAGCTGCAGGTAGTTTGCATTTCCCTTCCGTCAAGGCCATATGATATATATCTTTAATTCTTTACTAAAATAATCATTAATTCGGTTTTACTCAAAAGATGCCATGTATGTAGGAGAGGACTGGGTCCTAATAAAACACATCATCACCCAACACAATCTCTATGCACAAAAAAATGTATCACTTTAATTTGCGTACCTGTCCTGTACTTCGGCTAACAGCAGCATGCTCTTTCAGGAGTGCGTTTTCCGCAGAGCCAACACCATCTTCCAAGTCTACTCTTGTTCGATCAAACTCCCTAAAATCCTCAAGGAGTGAAGCATGCTCTTGCTTAGCTCTAAGGCTGTTTCGGAGACGATAGAACTCCTGCACTTCAATCATGTCTAACAAAGAGTTGAAATCTGCTGGGTTTAATCTTAGGAATTATATGTTTTATAGCAAAGACTGCACAAATGATTCAAAGAAAGTACAAAAAATTTCAACAGAATTGAAGATTTTAGTCTCTGCACCAGAATATAGCATGAGGCGAAATCTGAAGGCATCTTACTGAAAAAAGGAATAGTAACATTATACCTGTAACTTAAAGTAGAGCATGTTCATCCATATTTTGACTGTTCAAACTCTCAATTTCAACTTCAGTGAGAATTTGGAACAGTAACGAAAAATGAAAAACAAGGAATTGGATAATGATCTGTAATACAAATTCCATCTTAAAAACATAAGGGTCTTCCCTTCGAGAGAATTATAAGATGGCATGAGAGCTCATAGAACACATGTCATCCGTGCCAGTTGAACTATGGAGCAACCCAAAGCAGATTCAAGACATCTTAACTACATATGGGTCAAAGAAATAAAAACTGTCATCCCATGTTCCCCTTAGCATATTTAAGAGGCCAGATTGCCAGAATACCTGAGTGATATCTTGGAAAATTTCTTGATGTCTAGTCAAGGTATGAGAAACCATTTCTGATCCTCCTGATGATACCCATGCTTGCATTTGTGAATTTACTTGTTGGAGTTGCTTTAATAGTCGATCTATCCCAGATTCAAGATCATTCTCGGCAGTACCAACTTTTGTAGAACCCTTTGCAGACACAAACTTACGATAAGAATTCATCTGCTCATCCAACTGAGCTTCAAGTTTCCTTGCCTGAAATTACAATAGATTAAAATTATCATTTTAAGAAAGCAAAATTCCCAGCTATCCAGATTTAGTATCAAGGGAACTGCATGTAAGAGGAAACAAATGAAAACAATTAGCATTGCACATCCATGATCATGCACTTTACGAACAAGCAGAAATTAACATTCTCATTTAGATTAAGCCAATGTGATTATATTATATGATATGTAAACAAACTATATGTCTTGCTGAAGTGCCTTCGCTTAAAAGATTCAGAAAACCAGTAGCTTAAACCAAATTTTCAAAATTCATGCTGAAAAAGTGACACTGGGAATCAGAAAGCCAAGTGAAAATTCGTGCTTCACCTAATACTAGTATCTTTCTGATAGCAAAATGTTCAACCTTACAACACAATGAGGGAGTCAAATTCAGAAGTTCAAGAAGCACATAGGAAAAGAAGAGCTGCACAAACTGAATCTTGAAATTTTCTCACAAAGTCCTTAGCATTTTTGAATATAGTATTGTGACTTAGAAGTTAGAAGAGACAAGCTTAATAATAATTAATAAGCAATCCCTGGATGAATAGATTTAGTTACCACAGTTCAACTTTGTTGTTTTTTCATATCCTGGGACTTTTTCAAATTGCACATATTTAATATTCTTTAGCTGAGGATTACATCATTACTCACCAGTATGATGCTCACATTCAATGATCTACTATTTTTGTTAAAGTGTGCAAGATTGAAAATTGAGGTGGTGGTGAAATCATAGTAGTGATTTCATGTTGGCTTCCTAGGTCTGTTTGGCATTCAAAGGCCCGTACTAAAGTATCTCTTCATTTTGGGGCTATGCTTTGAAGATGATGTTCTTATATGATGTCCATAGAGGAATATCATTATTTTGAATAGTTGTACGCAGAGAGAAAGTGTCAAGAAGAGGGTCATCTATTACGGCACAGTTCTAATCGTCGTTCTGATTGAAGTAATGACACAGGTGGCAGAAGAGGAATGCTATAGGAACTTTGAGTCCCATACAACAATGGGGCCTTATTCAAAATTGCTAGTTGAAGTTAAATTTTGATTGTAGGCCTTGCTAAGGTCTTTGAAATTTCTGAAAGGATTTCTTTTAACCAAATTGAACTATTTGCCGCGGGCAATTGAGCATCACTCAATTACAAGTCTTGTAACTTTACATATTCATTTCTTCAATCAGATTTCTCCACCTAGCAATTACAGTTCCGATCGAAGCTAAAACATAACAATTTGTTGCTAGAACAAAGGAAATTTATCAATTTAACTCACCAATCACAAACAAATCCAGTAGTGACGATAAAAGTTTGAAGGAAAAAACACAAGCTGATCTCATACAAGACAACCTACCGACAACTCGAACAAAAAGAAAAGACCAAAGCAATAAGCACGAGTCTAGTTGCAGAATTCAAAGCTGTAATCGAAATATCTAATATCTAAGGCAAACAAAACAGAAATCAGGAAATCGTCGGCTACCCGAGAAAGTTGAAAGTCGAGAATTGAGAAGGAAGAAATCATACAGAAATTATTGATCATCGCAGAAGAGGAAAAAGGAGTACCTGTTTGCGAGAGCGTCCCATGAGCTCGGCACCTCCATCTCCACCGACACCACAAACAAAAACACAAACAGAGAGACCGATCTTCCAAAATTGAAAATCAAATCAGTTGTCGTTTACGTTTCACCACAAACAGAAACAAAAACTTCTTCTTCTTCTTCTTGTTCGCTTGTTTCAGATTTTGAGAGGATTGAGCAAGTGGGGGTTGTTCGGAGACGGAGACAGCCGGTCTGCTTTCAATTTTCAACGGCAGGTTGTTTGGCAGTGGCGTCCTTCTCACGATACTTCAGATGCGTTCTAATTTCTAAACAAAGAATTAAATTAATGTTCTTCCAATATAAAATGGGAGAAAAAGGTCCAAATGAAGAATGTTAAAAGACCAATGCGATCAGAGGCCCAATCCAATCCAAACCAATCCAAAAAACATTAAAAAAAAAATACTGAATATCTTGCTAATTTTGATCCTTGAATTTGATCTTCTCAAACTTTGCCATGCGTTACATTTACACTATGTTTGGATGAAGAAATTTAAGATTATTAAGGAATTTTAAAATGAATGAAATTGAAATGACAAGATTTTTTTTCAAGAATTTGTAAATTTTCTTGTTTGGTTAATCTAAAAAAATAATGGAATTGAATACTAAATTTGTTATTTTTAAACTCTAAATCATAGAAATTAGGAAATGACACCTATTTACATGGAATTTGAACTTGGGAATTGGAGGTCCCAAATTCCAAGTTTTTTTTCCACGTGAAAATTCTAAATTTCTATGTTTATGAATCCAAACAAGGGAATTTGTGCGTGTTAATTTATAAATTCAGACTTTTACCAAAATTCCAAGTTTATTTCCCTCATCCAAACATAGTGTTGGTCTTTTTCCGTCACTTTTGTCTATTAATAATCATAACTAGTAGCATAAAACATTATTAGTGCTTACTTTGCTCTATCCTAATTAGCAAGCAATTTGAATTGGAATAGGAATAGGAATAGGAATATCCCCACCCTGCCCCCCCGGCTTGAACGATGTGCACTCTGAATAATTTGTTGCTTTTGTTTACTGATGTATGTGGCATATGCTTGATATTCGTATGCAGTATTGTACTGTGTGTAGTATATGATTGATATTCGTATGGAGTCTTGTACTTGTGTACCATCCAACTGCGTTTTCATTACCGGCCTTTTGGAAGAACGGAAACAACAAAATTGGTCTCCTATCGAGAGATGTAGTATGGTTCTCAGTTGAATCCTAACGTTAATTTGAGCCCAAAGTAGTGAATTGAACACCAATTGATCACTAATCAGTCAATATAAACAACAAATTAAAACTTAAACCCTAGCTAGTTCTAAAGATAACAGTAGTTTGCAAGTAAGTGATAACAAGTATATATCATGTTGCGTGTGTGTGTATTTATATATAGTCCTAGCTAGCTTAATTTGGTCAATTTCAATTATCTATGTTAAACAGTGAATTTGATTATTTACCAGTTATGTGTTGAATCTGTTGATGCAGAATGTATGTTTTAATAAGTTCAAATTTGTATTGGCGATGCATCTTGATGCTGCAGCCTGCAGGGAGAGTGGGTGGATGAACATATATAAGAGCTTACTGAACCAACGTGAGATCGAAGACATATTCTGCTTTCTAGTCCTGGAACTCTCAATCATATATATAAAGATGTTACATCCTGCTTGCCCGAGCTATTTGTTATGTAATTGATCTAAATTAATAGGTGAATATCTTTGTCCTGCAACTTATTCCTTTCAGCTCGATCTAAAAAATTGTTCGCAGCATGCTATCATGCTCTGTCTATCCTTTGGTATGAAGCTGAAAATTGCTGTGTTTTTATCCCTTTGATTCTCCCAATGTAAGCCTACTTAGCTCCAGCTGAAGCCATTCAAGTCAAATTGTCTGCAACTTGAAGAAGTATCATTATCATCATGAGCATTTAGGTCTAGTTTTGCTGCAAAGTAAGGCACTGATCTATATCCTTGAGAAACTTTCGCACCCTCGACTTTAGCTGAATCAGCCCTGCTGTTCGTACGGCCTAGAAAGCTTCCATCTGTGTCTCTTCCTTTGCTATCGATATTCCAGTTTTCTCCTTGTAGTCCAATGCTCATGGATAAGTCACTAGACCTTGTTGCGGCAGGGAACATTCTTTTTTCTGCATCCTTACTTATGGAGGAAAGAAACATGTTCTCTTTCAGATCATCACACAAATTAAGTTGGGTGTTTTGGAGCATTGGCGGCTGATCTTGTGCAGCCTCTTTATGTTCCAAGAGTGCTGCTGCCCTGCCACTGTAATTAGGTCTCAGAGGCATTCCACTGCTGTGTATCTGGTCCTGGTCCCTTCTCAATCCTTCGCAGGAAGTTAGGCAACTGTCGATTGAGCAATCGGTGGGCTGCTGGTTTGTTTGCGTTTTCTGAGGGCACAATCCCTGTAGTTCTTTGAGCTCTGTGAAAGCGGAGTTCAAGGATACTTTGGACACCAGCTCAGAGAGTTGAACTTTGGCAGCTTCAAGTCCCACTGTACCTAAGTTTTGTCTTCCTAGTGTCTCCTGGGCTTTCTCCAGCACAGACTGTAGGTATTTTCCTTGAGCCTCTATACGAAGTTGCAAGTGCCGCTGAACCTGCATGGTTTTCGATCGGGACAAATTGTCAGAATGCTGTTATAATGGGAAAGTGCTTTTGCTCGACTGAGTGATACCAAGCGCACGCCCTCACCTCAAGTTGCTCATGTAGCCTTCTCTGGACTTCAATTTGCATCTCTAGTGTTTCATTTAAATGTAAGCCTCTGGAATTAATTAAGAATTGTCATTGTGAGCCTAAATCTCATACATATATTAAGGTAATCTATAAGATGATAAATAAATGAAAAATTAACAGATGATCAAGTGAGGAAATGAGTAGCAGCTAGCTAGCTTACTTGTTTGATTGGGGTGCAATGCCAATGCTCATAGTGCTCATCTGACTTCCATTTGCTTCGGATATTAATCTTTCTCCTGCCTCTGAAACTGGAACTGTACCTGTACCTATACAATATCATTGTCCAAATTATTAAAAGTATCAAATAAAATTGGCTGTAAATTAAGTGTAAACCAGTCAAAGTATATACATATATCTTAAGAGGAGGAATTGAACAAATGATTAGTCGTCTCTGCTTACCAATTTTGGTGGGGCCACTAGTAACATGTCCTCCATGCAGATTCTTGCTAAGCCTGTACTTCTGTTTGACATAAACCAAAAAATGACTGGCTTAAAATTGATTTCAATTATAATGGCTGGATTAATTCGTTTCACTTTGTTGCTTGGAGATGAAGAAAATGAAACTAATACTTGATTGTTACATTTTTATTTTTAAAATGGCCACTTAAATTGCATTCTAATTGATTAGAACTAAATGGGGATTTTGAAATCAATTAAACTTAATGGTGTTAGAAAAACATTCGAGTACAGTACCTGAAGATGACTCTTTAAGTGGTATAATGTAAGCCCTGGAATCCCCATAAGTTTCATAACTGTTTTCGGAGTAGCCTCTGCATAACATGGGGAAATCATCATAACATTAATTAATTAATTCGAATTAATTTAATGATCAGCTCAGCTCTCTCAGCTGGGAGCTAGCTAGGGAGAGTTATATATGTAGTATTAGATAATATATTATTTAGGGAGAGTTATATATATAGTTATAGCGTAGTACTCACTGTCTGCTCCTCCAAGCTGGTTAACTGCTTCGATAAATCGCTCATGGAGATCGAGGGTCCATTTGAGTCGAGGTTTGGCATCGGTTGTGAGGACAAGGCCTGAATCTCCTGCAGGGCTATTTTGGTCACCTTGCTGTAGAAACAAATGCCTTTCAGAAGGGATGTTAGGCATCGATATTCTACTTGAAGAAGCAGAAGAGTGGATGATGTTCTTTCCTTGGTGCTGGTGCTGGTGTTGGTGTTGGTGTTCGTTTTGGTGGTGGTGCTGCAGCTGATGATGGTACATCATCTCTGTGTGTGTATAGATATATATAGATTTTTCTGTCTTCAAGAATCAAAACCTAATCTCTCTTTTCTTTTTCTTTTCTTCTCTCCTGGATATATATGTGTAGTTGCCACAAACCAAAGGGTATGGTGAGATGGCCTTTTATAAAGCAAGCGAAATTGGTTTGTGGGGTACGATTAAGGTTTTAAAAGACGCTAAGTACTAGTTAGGCGGTGGGTTGGGACCTAGCGTCTAGGCGGGGTCTAAGCAGGCGCCTAAGCGGATTAGGCGGATTTAATTAAATCTATTATATTTCGTGTAAATAAGTGTTTGTTTATATTTAAAATATATATGATTTCATCATAAACTACAAAATGGAATGACATATAAATTATGAGCTATTGGAACATAATGAAAACATAGGAAACAAGTATATTCTACAAGTCTCTTACAATTTATTGAAAAAATAAAATGCAAAATGAAAGTTATTTATTTTTTGTCTAAGTGAATCGCAACCTAGGCATGTGTCTATGCGGGTTTGGGTTGGCTAGACGGGCGTCTCAGTAGGCCTAGCGCGTCATTTCTTAATTTTCAAACGCCTAGGCATTAATTGGGGCGTTGGCCAACCGTTTAGGGCCTAGGTGGCGCTAGGCGGGGATTTTTAGAATAGTTGTCGAATGATATGAGGGGATTGGCATGGCAATATGATATATATAAGGGAACTTTAACGAAAAGCTCCCGGTACTGTTCACTTTAATGAAAAACCACATTTTTACACTAAAAAGTCAATCCTGGTACTATTCACTTTACCCTTTATTTTGTCCTTATCATTAAAACTCAAAGTTTTTAAGCCATTTTCATTAGTTTTCCTTATATATAAACCTAGATATTAATCCTTGAAAAAGATTATCTTTAGACTAAAACCTTAACCAAGATTAAAAAAAAAACTAATTATAGTCCTTTGACTTATGTCCAAGTTAGCATTATATTTAGGTCAAATCGGATAAATGATCCATGTGGTCATAAAGTATTCGAAAAATAGCCCATGTGCTAAAAAAACTCGGATTTAAACCCCTGTGATGTACTCCGTTAGCAAATTTAGTTCAAAAGTTATTCCGTTATCAAAGTATGAATTTGGGGTCATTGAATTCATCCGCCACCCCAGAGTCGATAGCACCAAAAGCTCCATTCCGAAAACACACTTTGTTTCCTCCACCTAATCACAATCACGAGAAATCCAATAAACACATCAGTCCAACAATTTCACAAACACTCAAATTACAAATGGAAATTTACACGTACTTGCAAATCTAAGAGAAGAGGCATATGGGTCTCCTCCACTTTGGCGGCCAACGAGACGCATGCGACGGCGATGAGCTAACTCATCCACGGCTTGCCTCTTTGAAATGGCCGGCTAGCAATGAACCTATCAAAGTAGTTCACAGCCAAAATGGCTGTCAAAGAGGAGAAGCCATAGTGTGCCTTTACACTTAGAATCCACTTAATCACCTCATTCCAAGCCGCCATCAAAGACCTATCTGAGATTTCTCCACTGAAATGCACATGGGTTTGTTCCTCTTTGGAGATTAGAGAGGAAAGTTCATCATTTTCCCAGAACATATCACTTTCTAGGAAAATCAAAGGGAAAGATGATTGCTTTTTTGAAAACCCATCACAGTTCTCACTCTCCTCCTCACTACCATTGTCTCCCAAATATTCCTCAAATCCTTCTTCGCAGAATAATAAAGGATCGAACGCCATTGGAGGGTTTTGGAGCTCTTAGGGTTCTTCTTGCAGAGCCATCTTCTTCGGAGAAGAAGAGACTTTGGTCATTACACAAAAAGAACAAGGGAGAGAGATAGGGTTGAGCTCATGCCCATATCCATCTCTGAGTCTGTTCATTTCTCTCTCCTTACTTTTTTAGGAGGGAGAGCGCCTAAAAAATCACTTTTAACATATAGATAACGGAAAAAATCACTTTTAGATTAAATTTGCTAACGGAGTACACCATATGGGTTTAAATCCGAGTTTTTTTAGCACATGGGCTATCTTCCGAATACCTTATGACCACAGAGATCATTTATCTGATTTTGCCTTATATTTAATGCCAGACGTAATTCCTTTTATGTAATTTCATTCTTCCTATATTATCCTTGAGTGAATTATAATGTCTCATATTTAATTTATTTATAACTTTTCATTTCATTGCTAACATAAATGACTTAAAAATTAAACTTTTTGTCCAACTCAAAAAATTATCTTCAACCATGTAAGAAGAGAGGGCTAGGGCTACCGTCCACATCCAATATTTCTTCTTCTTATACATCTAATAGTGCATGATTAATTTTTACCATTTTTTTCTTGTGTTGATGATTTATTTTTACCTTCTTATACATTGAATCTACCGATTTTTTATTTTGATGTTAATGTATCAATACTTTTGTACCTGTATGTACGTATGCACCGACACTTCCGCACCGACACTTCTGTACCGATGCTAACGTATCAATACTTTCGTACCTATATGTGTACGTATGTACCAGCACTTGCATACCGATAATTCTGTACCTATGTGCACGTATGTACATATACATATGTACCGACACTTATCCAATTCCTATAGATAAGGAAAATTTTATTTGAACCCATGTAACCTTGTTCTACACCCAACTTACTCTTTAATTCCTTATTATTTTTAATTACAGAATTAATATCTCTTTAAACCCAAAATTATTACCTAAATTACCCTCCTAAACCCAATTAAAAATGTAAATTTATCTTTACACCCATTTAGAAAATACAATCTAAAATTAAATAATTTGGTGAAGTTTCTACTTGTTTATGAATCTTCCATGTACCTAACACTTTTCAATTTCTTGTTTTCTTGATAGTCATGTACCCGTGATTTTATTTGCATGCAGGAATAATAGATTTTCTTGAGCAAAAGAAGATGCTTCGAAGGTTGTGTATTCAAAGAAACTCGAAATAAAAAATCTTTTGGGTCCTTTGTCTCCCCTCCCACCTTGAGCTCCTTGAAACAGAGCTTTTAGCCCTTTGTCTCCTCTTAAGCTTTTAGCTAGTGATTGAGCTTTTTGAAATTTCTCTCTGAATTTTTATATCAATTGCTTCACTGCATCTTATTTGATTTTTCGTTGAGTTTCAAATTTCCAACTGGAGCTTTTTTACAATACTATGGCATCTCCTATATGTGCATCTTATTTGATCTTTTTTGTATAATCTTCCTAGTAAAACAAAGGCCCCTCAATTTTCATGGACTATCAACCTATTCATGAAAGGTCAATGATAGCATGATAACTAATGCTTGCTTAATATGGGAGGACAAACTAGTACGGCAACAAATTGTAATGCAAAAAAAAAAAAAAAAAAAAAAAAAAAAAAATCTTTCTAATATGCCAAACAAATTATTAATACTTCTACTTTCCATTGAAAGGGTTTAGCATCCAAGAAATTTGATGTCTGCAACAAATTATTAATACTTTCACTATGGTTGTTGCAGACATGATTTCATATCAAGTAAATTTGGTGTCTGCAACATTTTTTGTAACATCTGCACTATTTCCCATAGAAAGTTTAACAAACTATGCGCAACCTGGATTGACGAAAAAAAATGAAATCCAAATACTCATCTTCTAAACTCTAAAAAATTGAAATAAAACGATTTTTTTTTTCACAATTGATTTATACCTTAGTTGGAGTATTCAAAACTTCAAAATTACCATCTATCGATAAAAAATAAAAAAAACTTGTTTTTTTTATACAATTGATTTATACCTTAGTTGGAGTATTCAAAACTTCAAAATTACCATCTATCGATAAAAAAAAAAGCTTGTTTTTCTTTATAAGAGCTATTAGGGTTTTTGCCGGAATGAACGTAGAATAAACAAGGAGTGATGGTGGGTTTAATTAGGCTTTTTTTTATTAGCACCCCACATATTGTTGAATGCACCCCCAAAAATTTCAATATTAAATTACTTATTTATTCTACTTAGCAATGACAAATTCGACCTTATTAAATTTATAAAAAAAAAAAATTCCAAATACACCCCACATCACTTTTAACATATTATTTATCTTCTTCAATTATCAAAACCCTTCCACCCTCCATTGTTGAACAAAATCCTAACTAATGAAATTATAAACACATTGATTGAGAAACCCTGACAAAATGTCTATGAATATGCCAATGCTATTGATCACTGTAACTGCAAGAAATTATTTTCTCTCTAACCACACATTTTATCACGTCCTGGCATTTACTATGTCGAAAAAGTTCAGAACTTATGCATTTGAACCAGCTCTATGAATTGCAATGCCAACAACTTGAAACTTTCAATAATTCTTTTTTATTTTGTATTTCTTTTGTTATAGAAAAGTTACATAAGATCTTGAGTTTGGATAATTCTTGAGTTTGGAAGTGACATAAGATTTTCCAATCTGCACAAAGATAAAAAAATTTAAGATAAGTGTTAGCGTCCAAATCGGTTAATGATAATATGCTCTCAAGTTGGAAACGAAAAACAAGCCAATCACAGAAGTAATTAGCCTAGGAACAGTAGGGTATCTAGATTCAATCCATCAAAATTAAAAATGAGTATTATAAAATTTGAAGAAATTGGGGTGTATATAGAAATATAATGTGTGTTTGAGAATGTGGGGGTGTAAAGGTATTATGGAGAGGTATGTGGGGTGTATAAAGATAATTTTTAATTGAAAAAGTAAATGTGGGGTGTATTAAGTATGTGAGGTTTATTCAACAATTTGTGGGGTGTTAATATAATAAGCCGTTTAATTATAGGGTGTGAGATTATTGATAAATTTAAGTTTTATTATTAATTTTATATTGTATTTGATGATAATTATACAATATGATAAAAAAGACAATTAACATTTAAAATTTAAGTTGGATGTAGAAAGAGGTTATGTGGGTTCAAATAAAATTTCCTTATAGATAATGAGGAGTTGTTATACTTTTTTGTTGTTGTGATATATATATATATATATATATATATATATTAAGGGAGACTTAATTTGTTTGTCAGCAAGTATAAATTAGTATAATTTGCCTTAGTTGGATTTATCTTATTGACTTTCGTATCAAAATTTAAA